AAAAACAACCTGGTCAGCCCTCATAATTGTGAATAGAAAGTCATTGTTATTTTAATCCACTAAGAATTAGGAAAATGGATTCTTACAAAGCAATGTATAAACAGAATATGGTACTAAACGTAACAAGCAACAGATAACTTCAACAGAAATTAGTACTAAAAGGACAAACTAATAGATAAATGTAACAGAAATTGGTATTGCTTTAAAAAACCTAAAACATATGGCATTGTCTTTATGGACAGCTATCAAGCCAGTGCTGGAAGGCAAGGAGAGAGATAGTGACGTAAGAAGAGCCAGAAGAAAATTACTGCTGGAGGCTAGAAAAACCCTCGGTTCAGTTAACTGTTGCCTGTGTTAGAAAATGTAATGATGTACTTGTTGATTTTAATAAATTAATTTCCATGGAGAATTTTATAAAAAGTGATAAGTTGTTTCTTCTAGCTGTATTTAATAAGGTATTGTAAGAGAAAGGTTGTATTTTCTATTGATGCCATTAAAAATCACTACAATTTTAGCAGCTTAAACAATGCAAATTTATTATAGGATGAAAATGCATTTGAAGAGAGAAGTTCAGTCAAGTAGGAAGTCAAATATGGCTTTCACTGGGTAAGATCACCGTGTTAGCAGGACTCTAGGGGAAGGTCTGCTTTCTTGCTCATTCAGATTGTTTGCAGAATAGAGTTCTTTGTTGTTGTAGGCGGAAACTCACATGTTCTTGCTGCTATCAGCTTAAGGTCATTTCCAGCTTGTAGAGGTCACCTGTATTCATTGGTCTACTTCCTCCATCTTCCACGCCTGAAATAGCAAGTTTAAACCCCCCTTACACTTCAAATCTCTTCTTCTGTGAATCTCTGTGATCACGACTGGGAATGGGTTCTCAGCTTTTAAAAATTTATCTGATTAGGTTTGGTCTATGTAAATCATCCAGGATAAATTCTTCATCTGCAGGTTTGAACACTATAATCATATCTGCAAAATCTTTTTGCTATGTAAAGCAAAATTTCACACAAGTTCTGGGATTAGATTGTAGACATCTTTGGGGAGGCATTATTTTGCCTGCCACAGAGGTGAACTAAAGGAGCTTTTGGTTTGTAATCAAATTTAGAGAAAACATAGAGGATCCAAGAGGTCTTTCATGTAGTAACAGGTTCTCAATGTAAGAAAAGGCTTAGGGGGCTGGGGATGTGGCTCAGGCGGTAGCGTGCTCCTCTGGCATGCGTGCGGCCCAGGTTCAATCCTCAGCACCACATACCAACAAAGATGTTGTGTCCACGGAGAACTAAAAAAAAAATAAATATTAAAAATTCTCTCTCTCTCTCT